TAAAAAAATAATAAAGTAGCATTAATTACCAAAGAGTTGACCTCCAGAATAGCTAAAATATATGGAGACAGGCATACCAAAGGTAAATCAGTTAACATTTTAGCAAATGAATAGGGGGGAAGCCAAGGGGCACTGGCGAGTGCTATAGAGGAGAGCCCATTTTAAATATAACAGAATTAAAAGATCTATCATGTTTTCCTGATATTAAAAAACTGAATATGTGAACAATAGATTCTTAAAATTGGTGGGTGGCATCGTACTAGTAAAATAATTTTGTACCAGTAATAATTAATAAGTGATACTTCTCAGTAATAATAAGAACTACAAAGTTCTTCCCGAACCTTATCCTTTAAATTTATCTACTCAAGCAGGTCTGCTGAGTCCTGACCTTCATGCCTCCTTTTAGGGATTCCCAACTGCCTAAAGCATTCTTGCAGTTTTATCTGATCTGTCAACAGCTTTTAATACCAGCATTTTGGGGGATTCTGTTATCCTGTGAAATTTAATCTCACCTATTTAAGCTTGCAGAAAATACTGGAGGGAATTATTAACAGATTTTCCCTCATCTTCTTAGAGGATAGTGCTGAGTGATTGGCTGGTCTCCCTAAGGACGCACAGCTAAGAAGTGCTAGTTTGTCAGTAGCATCCTATTTAGCATGTGTGTGAGGCCACAAGGGAGACTGAAAGACATTTGGAATCAGAATTCCATCAATATGCTGATGATGCCTCCATATCTTCGTTTCATCAAACCTATATTCTGTAGCATTAATGCTTTCTTAACTAAGATGGAAAGCGCCCCAAAACAGCACACTGCCGATGGCTCTAATTAGACAGCTGGAAACTACATGGATGATACATGAGAGCAGTGGATCGCAGTCTCAGCATCACCAAGAAACTTGTTAAAAATGCAAATTCTCAGGCCCCTCCCAGATGTCTGGAATCAGAACCTCTGGAACCAGGGCCCAGCAAGCTATGTATGACCAGCCCTCCAGGTGATTCTGATGCATACGGAAATTTGAGAACATCTGCATTTGAAAACTGGGATATGGCTATCACTGCTGAATCTATTGGGTGTTGCCTCCCACTTTAGGAGATTAAAACATTTCTGGATCCAATCACACTGTTCTTTGTTACTAACAATGTAATGTTAAATGTAACTGGCCTTTATAATAATAATTCATATTTGTCACTAAAGGATGAGAGCACTATTGCTCTGTATTGTCCTCCCTCTATGACCATCTGAGAATTAGACTGAAGCTTAGAATATTGCATGCTGACATGCTTAATGGTGAGGACCTTAACCAACAAAAATACATGTAATTCCCAAATTCCATCCAAGAGCCCAAACCCATTAAACGATACTCATATTTGAGAGAAACTCTAAATATCCATTTTTCTCATTCTTCGCTGACTTTAAAGAATCCAAGTGTGGTTGCAGATTGAGTGCATTAGGGGTAGAAGGCATAAGAGAAAGAGGAGAAATACAAAGAAATTGGGTATGCTATTAAATTTTTCTTGTCAGTTAATATTTTTTCCTAGAACATATTCCCTGAGGACCTTGTCTTGGAGTGTTGAACTTCCTCCCGACTTTCCAGTTTCATAAGTGCTAGCGCTGGCCATGCCAAGGGCCCTCTTTTGACATAACAAAACCAAGTAATGGACAGGAGGGATTAATATCAGAACCTCTGGAAATGCTAAATCCTAAAACCCCCAATCCTAAAAAAGCATGAGCACTGGCCAATAACCCAACCCTAAAATCTATGCATGTTCTGAAAATATGTTACATATTATTCCTTCCCTCATGTTGAGGAATTTCACTTAAAATTACCAAATGAACCTTCAAAGGCCTATTACTATAACACGAATCTAACCTGGAAAGTACTAGCTCTTTTGATGCTAGGAGCCCTGGATGCCAATTCCCCCCAGAAAATACTAATTTCCCAATTCTTTGTTGAAGACTTTATATGTGGCACCATTGCGCTAGGCAGGGGGAAGAAACAAAGGAACCAGGAGAGCTGACCATGGCTCCTGTTCTTATGGAGCTCACAGTCAAGAAGGTTTTTTTTTTGTTTTGTTTTTAGGGTTTTTTAATTTATTTTTGAGAGACAGAGCACAGGCAGGGAGGAACAGAGAGAGAGGGAGACACAGAATCTGAAGCAGGCTCCAGGCTCTGAGCTGTCAGCACAGATCCCGACACGGGGCTGTAACCCACAAAACCGTGAGATCGTGACCTGAGCCGAAGTCAAAAGCTTAACTAACTGAGCCACCCAGGTGCCCCATGAAGAAGTTCTTAGATCATATAAAAAATGTGGTTTCTTGTAAGCCAATAATATACATCCAAACATTTGTTTTTATAGTTTTAATTAGGACCCAGAGCCACTTGAGTTCTACTGAGCTATACTGCAGTTACAGTACTGTACAGCAGTGTTACCTGTTATTCCACAGACCTATTGCTTTTCAACAGTTTGGAAACCATGGTTCAGCCCAGTAAACTCTGGCCTGACAACCAAACTATGCCTGGACTCATCCTTTCTGTCCCAAAATGTGGTCCCATTGACTAATAGCCTACTCTTTCAATTAGCCTCTAACAGCCTCCGTGCTACTGACCCGAACATCGTTAATCAATTTTCAACAGGGCGGTCCTTTTAAATTTTATTTATTTATTAATTGATTGATTTTTAAATACTTATTTATTTTTGAGAGAGAGAGAGAGAGACAGAATGCAAGCAGGGAGGGGCAGAGAGAGAAGGAGACACAGAATCCAAAGCAGTTCCAGGCTCTGAGCTGTCAGCATGGAGACCAACGTGGGGCTCAAACTCATGAACGGTGAGATCATGACCTGAGTTGAAGTCAGATGCTTAACCAACTGAGCCACCCAGGTGCCCCTGAAATTTAACTCAGATCTTGGTGCTTCTCTGCTCAAAGCAGTCCAATGGTTTCCTCTTTCACACAAAATAAAAACTAAAGGCCTTATGAATGCCTATAAGACCTCACCCAGTGTACCACATAATGTCCTCCCTTACTCTGTTCCAGTCATACTGACTTACCTTATTTATTTATTTATTTATTTATTTATTTATTTATATTCTCAGAAGTTTAAGGGCCTTTTTCAATCAAAGGTGGATGCCTTTGCCTTCCCTGGAATGTTTTGTTCCCAGATGTCTACATTCCCTCAGTCTTCATTTCTATGCCCTAAAGTCATCTTTTTAGAGAGGCCTTCCTGGACTACCCTATTTAAAATGGCAAATCCTGCCACCTCTTCCACTGTAGCCTCTCCCCAAATACACACTCCTTATACTTCTATATTAACTTTTCTCCGTAGCACTAATCACCTTTCAAAATACTATTTATGTGACAGTTAATTTGTTTGCTTATCAAGTGTCTTCTGTCACTAGGTACAAGCTGTATTACAATTGTATTAAAATTGCCTAGAACAATGCCTGGTACACAAATGGATGTTCAATAAAGGTAGGTCGATTGATTGATTAAATAGATAAATTATTTCTACTTCTACCCTCTCAAGTAATTACCTGGTCTCATTTTTTGTGTACATTCTACTGAAGGTGGAAGAAACAGCCACCACTCATTTCTAGTTACCTTTGTTAATGGAAGATGACTATACGATAAAGTATAAAGTACACTGGCCTTTCTGTCCAGGGTCATCTTCCCTTCCAACTCTAAGGGTGCAGCCTTTCTAATGAAAACTTATTTGACATTGGAATCAGAAGAAAAATATTTAAAATATTTAGTTCAAAACATATGTGCCAAGTATTTATTCTTTGTGGAGTTTCTGTGCTATGCATGGAGACACAAAGATGAATAAAATTAGCTCCCATCCTCTTTTATCTTGGGCAAGTCACTTCATCTCACTATCGCTGTTCCAGTATGGCTGTTTTCTTTTTATTTGTAACATAATGGAATTGTATTAATTGACGCTGTAGATAGTGCTCCAGAAAAAACAAAACAAAACAAAAAATTCCCAAGATTATAAGACCATCTCTACCTCGGATTTTGGAAAAAAAGCTTGAATGGGTAAAATGATAAAAGAAAGCCCAGAGAATAAAGTTGATGTCTGAAACCCAGCCATGAACCAGTGGGGACTCTGATATCTTAGTGAGATTAATCTGGATTGTGGTTAATCTACATGTGACAAATCACCTATTGACTACACTTATAATTCTTACCTGGTATAGAGACTCCAAATATAGTAAGGCATTCTAAAGCAAATTACATTTATCATACTGATCTGGATAAAATGAGTAATTTATATTTCTACAAATATGTTTTGTTTTTGTTCTTGGAACTAATATCCTTTAAAAGGCATTATCTTTACTAATAGCATTAAAATTTGAGAAGTCCATGGTAAATGTACCCAGCTGATGCCTCACCCAAGATTAGTCACCAGTCACTTGTAAGGATGAAATCATTTTAAATCTGTCATTTTTAGTAAGTTAACCAATTATTAATTCTAAATAATGCTTACAACAGAGCTCTTAAAAAAATAATAAATGGCAATCTCTTTGTTCTATTGGCTTCCCAGCATAATGAATTGACCGTATGACCAAGACATATAACTTTGAATGGAGCTTATAAACTTGGCTTATATAGAATTCCAAAGGTCTCTAATTACCACATTCTCCAACTATCCCTACATTTTGTGATGAGTGCCTGTTGTTCAGGAAATGAAGACTTAGCATATTCTACTGTTATTAGTTACATACTATACATTTCAAAAGATACTAACACTAACAATAAGAAGCACTTATGTACTGACAAAGATGAATTTTTCATTTTATCCAAATCAGTATTATAAAATAATTTTCTTTTACTTTGAATGTCTGAATTAGAAAAAAAAAAAAAACTATGGGTAGCCCAGATTTTTTTAATTTGCATTTCACAATTTCAAGAACATTCTAATAATTTAACTAGGAGACTGACTTTCACAGTTTCGTCTCCTAAAATCTGTTACAACTCCATATTTTCTGATGGTTCCATTTTACCTCCTCAGGGACAGCTCTTATATTAACAAAGCCTTTTCTGAAGACGATGAACACGCGGCGGGCTCCACAACATAAAGCGGATGTTGCACAGTCAAAAGCAGTGTCTCCAGCTCCGAGTACAATCACGACTCCCCGTATCGACGGCAATGGAGAGTGACAGGCGCACATCCCTGAATGATGAAAGGAAAACCCCATTTTCAAGTAGAGAAACCATTTCTGCATGACAGCTCAAAAGATACTTGTACTCAAAGCAGTGTAAAATTGCATCTTGCAGTTTTCGAGGATGGAGTGTCACTATCAAATTATTCTGCTTCATTGAAAGACAGTTTTATTCCCATTTTAAAAATATGCTCATATATGTAATTTCATAGTCACTACCTTTAACTTCCTTTTTCCTTCTAGAAGGATAGCTGCTACACATTTTGGAGAGTTTAGGTCATAACAAACTGGAATCAATCAATTAAAACACTCTGTCAAAATCATGACATGTATTTTTAACTTGGTATCATTACATTTCTGCTTATCAGTAGGAAAAGTGATCTTTACCATCTGGGATAACATGATTCACAGCACTTCATGAAAATACTTCATTTAGATATTATCTGATAAGATTTCTAACATATAGCCCTGCTATATATTATATTTAGGAAACTCTGAAAATTTATGTGCTGATAAGTGCTTTCTATCTAACTGAAGAATTTTTAACAACTATTTTCTTGAAACAGTTAAAATGAACTTTTTTATCCTTTACAGTTTTCCCCTGGTTTTGTTTGAAAAATAAAACTATGAAAGAAATATGACTTTGTAAGTGTCCATTTTTAAGGACATGTCTATGAAGATTTGATGTCCATATGAAGATTCTTGTAAAGAAGTAAAATGCAGGTTTCCCTATATGTTAGGTATCATGTGTTATCAGATTAAATAAGACTGTTGATAAGATAAATTACTATAATTTTTGAAATGGCTCCACGGATAGCATAGGCCTATAATCTCGGTAACTGTAATCATTTTGCTTGGAAGAGTTTGCATTTGGGATTACATAATGGCCCTCTATAATTCTCAAATATAGGCTATATGTACTATGATCTTCCTTAGAAAGGGTTGCAGGTACAGAAGGATCCCCTTCTCCTGGGACGATGAAGGTGCAGATGGTTCACATGTTTAGCTAGAAACTTCTGCAGAATGACCTTATAGAGAAGTTTCTTGTCTTTTTAAATTGTGGATAAAAATGTAAGCTTTTATCTTTTCACATGTAATTAGATGTTGGGATAGCTGAAGTTCAAGACTTTGAAAAGGTATGTTTAAAGGATTTAGATGATCTGGTTTTGGAGAATATATTGTAGCTGCTTTACCACTAAGACATGACTCATCCAAGCAAAGTATCCGACTGGTTGCTTTAGTTTCTGGTTGCTTCTCTTGGGCTGTATGAAATGGTATTACACAGAGACTGAATACTAGGGTGTTTATCAAAGTGTTTTCATTTAACTTCATAAAATTGCTGTTCAGCAAGAGACTGGGTCTTTCTGCCTCTTTAGACACAAATGATGCTTTATCTGAAAAATTGGCCTATTTTAAAATTTAAAAATATATGTATTTTATAAATATAATATATAACATATATAGTTATAATATAATATATAATACAAAATAGTTCCCAAATGGAAGTTCCTGCCTTTTCTTTTAAGAACATCTTCCAATGTTTGTTTAAGACTCTCACAGAGAAGCAATTTTACATGATGCAGTTTAGACCTATATACGATAGAGTGAAAATTCCTTATGATGATGTTTGATTGGAAGAATAAACAAATAGATGATCCTGGAAAACTATTATATCATACTTTCTTTAAATTTATGTTGGTGTTAACAAAAGTGATTTGAGCTCTGAACAATGACCTCCTGTGTCAAGATTTAATATAGATTTATAATACACAAATGACATAGGTAATAGGCAACATTAAGAATACAAAATAACACTATACCTGCTTTACTGCTTTTGGCTACAAGTGGCAAAAAGTCTTTGGATGTGTAAAATCCATGGTCCTGTGTCAGGTCTTTGAAGATGTGGTTTTTATTGGGGTCTGGCAAACCTAAGTAATAAAAATTTATAAAATCTTATTAGCAGAAGAAGGGACTTTTCCTATTGTATATTTAAAAAAAAAGTAGAAAGCTGAAATCATTAAAATAATGTGGTTCTGAGATGAAAAAAATCTATAAGCAAATCAACATAAAAATGTATATAACAAATTATAATGAACCTTAATGTATACCTTTACTATATAACTAAGCACAAATCATAAACCACACATCCAAGCACACCTATGAGTATACAGAAACATGGATACACACACATACAAGTCCATCTAGTGCTAAAAGGAAAATCAGGTACTATTATTTCCTCCTGTCATAAATAAAAATAAGTTTCCAGTGTATTAAAGTAACACATATTAAAAAAATCATCACAAAACTAAAATACAATATGAATACATATATTTCTAATTCTTGAATATGAGAGATCATTCTAAGAAAAGTAAAAAACAAAAAAAAAACTTTAAAGAAAAAGATATATTTTACCACAAAAAATCAGCTATTTCTATAATACAAAAATATTATAAATAAATGAAAGGCAAATGATTAACCAAGGTAATATTTTAACAAATAAAAGTTCTTTACTAAATAAAGAAGTTTCTCAACTCAATAAGGAACAGATTGACTTTTCAAGAGAAGCATAAACAATGGATAACAAAATTTGGAAAATGAAAAATATAAATAGCTTGTAAGCACCAAAATGTTAACTATATTAGTAATCTAAGAACTGTAAAATTAAAACAATGACATATGATTTCCTGTCTATTAGGAAGTAAAAGATTTAAGAAAATTAGACTATGTGGCAAGGGTAAAGATGGGACTTGTAGTGATCTTTTGATAGAAATACACATTGGGGGCACCTGGGTGGCTTAGTTGGTTAAGCGACCGACTTCAGCTCAGGTCATGATCTTAGAGTTTGTTGAGTTCGAGCCCCACATTGGGCTCTGTGCTGACAGCTCAGAGCCTGGAGCCTGCTTCAGATTCTGCGTCTCCCCCTCTCTCTGTCCATCCCCCACTTATGATCTGTGTCTTTTTCTCAAAATAAATAAACATTAAAAAAAATTTTAAAAAAGCAATACACATTGGTGGATGCTCAATTTCTGGAAAAATAGTTTTGAATCTATACTAAGGAAACACTAAGACATGCAAATGAAGATTTAATGTACAGGTGCACCTGGGTGACTAACTTGGTTAAGTGTCCGACTTCAGCTGAGATTATGATCTCACCACTTATGAGTATGAGCCCCATGTTGGGCTCTGTGCTGACAGCTCAGAGCCTGGAGCCTGCTTCAGATTCTGTGTCTCTGGCTCTCTGTGCTCCTGTGCTGCTTGTGCTCTCTCTCTCTCTCTCTCTCTCTCTCTCTCTCTCTCAAAAATAAGGAAACATTAAAAAAGTAAGATTTAATATACAAAAACAGTCGATGCAAAGAGAGAGAGAGAGAGAATGAGAGAACACCAAAATGCCAATAAAATGGATAAATGAGTTTTACTTTAGAAGAGACAACACAATGCAGCCATTAAAATAAATATTTGAAAAATATGGTATTGGACTGTAATCAAAATAGTGTTAAATGAACTATCAGGATACAAAACTCTGTATAGTATGATCAATTTTTATAAAATTTCAACAGTGATCATTCCTGGTGGTAGGACTGTGGATATTCTATTTTTTCATTATTTATTTTCTAAAATTTCTACAATGTGCATGTACAACCATATAATTAGGAAAGAACCGCCAAAATTTTGAAAAGAAAATGAATAACAGACTAATGTTTTTCAAAGTAAAAACAAAGCAAAGTGAAGAATTAAGTCATTTCAATTCCATAAACAGAGGGGAAAATTTACAGTGTAATTTTGTTTACTTCCCTAAACTCTGGGTTATTCTGGAGAGATAAGATTTCATTTTATAGTTAAATGAAGAGCAATGAGTATTTCTTGGTGGATACACAGAGTAATAAGCATGGCTCAAGAATGACTTTTGTCATGTGTGATAAGGTAGGTACTTATCTGATTTGAAAGCTGAAGGTGCTTGTAGATTGAGTGAGTGTGTAACCAGGAATAGACCACTGTTGTCCCTTCAAATTAAATCAAACATTTTTCTTCCCTGTCCAGCATTCTTTCCTCCTGAAGATTTGCCCTTTGCTCACAGATTAGTTTAAGATCATTCGTCATTAAAATTATTTTATTTATCTAGGAAGGCTAGGCAAGTCATTTGACTTACCTTTGCTTTGGCCTCTTTTTTCTTTCTTAAGTTTCTATTTAAATTCCAGGTAGTTAACATACAGTGCTTCGGCTTTATAAATGAAATGGGATAGGACTGTTTCTTCATTTTCTGACATAAAAGATTACTCTTGAGGTATATTTATAATGTGGAAACTATTACACAAATGTGTGGTTATTCATGTAATTCTTTTAGAAAGACTGGGGTAGGGAATGGTTATGGTTACATGAAAATAGCTGAATATTACTTGAAGACTCTAATGGCAAAACAATTTTTCTTGAAAGCTATTAAAAGATGACTGTAGTTTAAGCTACACTTGATTCATCTAATATATATATATATATATATATATATATATATATATATATATATACATATACATACATACAGATAGATATAGATATAGATATGCCACATATCAAACTTTAAATAAGGACTCATCCCCCTTCTTATACCACTATATTAGATAGCATCTGTTCTGTAGCACTTCATTTTTCTATTAAAAAGACACAGGAAAAACAACCTGAAGTGCTATGCAATTTCAAGGAGATATGATAAACCAAAATCTTTAAAGCAGATCAAAAACAAAGCACAGAAAATGTATGTGGCAGATAAGAGTTCCACATCTATTGTCAATAAGGTCTAAAATCCTCCCTTTACTAACTCCTAATCTGATCTTTTTTACTACTTACCATGGTTAAGGCAGAGAAGTAACTTTACATCTGTGATTATTTTCTATAGATCCATTGCTAAAATAACTTATCTAAAGAAATGCAAGGCATTTTTATTGAACACACCACCGGATCCATGGAAAGGACTTTTCCTATCCTGCAAGGCTTATTATTTCACAAGAAAAAACCTTTGGCAAAATTTAAATTTCATTTTTTCCCTTGGATCAAGACACTGACAAGGACAACTGAGTTCCCTGTACTTTTAACCCATTCTGCATTTATCACTCTAATGAATTTAGCATTTACTAGATCAGATTCTCTCTATAAATGTTCAAGAGGGCACTGGTTAGATGTTCTGACTTATAGATATTGGCTTCAGGAGAGAAAAAATGAGCCAAAAATGGTACAGGACTGTTATGTTATTCCTGCAGCCTGTTTAACCACATTCCAGGGCATACATACTTTTGAAGTCCCAAGGTCCATGGAGCTCTTCTCCCCAACCTGGGTGACAGGTCACCCCTTATGTCCTAGGACAGTGCATCTGGAGCTTATCCCTTATGTCCTAGGACAGTGCATCTGGAGCTTTCCTTCAGACTGTTTGGTAGTCTGGCCCAACTGGCAAAAGTACCCTAGCATCTGCTAACCATGATGCTGTGAGGTAATTAAGAGCAGGACTTTTGTCATTAGACAAACTTCCGTGTGAGTTCTTCCTCTCCCATTTACCAGCTCTGTGATCTTGCGTGAGTGCTTGTGATGGTCAGTTTTAAATTTTTTAAAAAAATATTTATTTATTTTTGAGACAGAGAGAGACAGAGTGTGAGTGGCGCAGAGAGAGAGGGAGACACAGAATCCGAAGCAGGCTCCAGGCTCTGAGCTGTCAGCACAGAGCCCGATGTGGGGCTTGAACCCACGAACTGTGAGATCATGACCTGGGCTGAAGTCGGACGCTTAACCAACTGAGCCACCCAGGCACTCCTGATGGCCAGTTTTATATGTAATTAGCTAGGCCATCAAATGATATGATCAAACACTAATCTAGGTATTGCTATGAAGGCATTTTGTAAATATGGTTACCATCTACAATCAGTTTACTTTAAGTAAAGGAGATTATGTTGATGATTCTGAGTAGGTCTCATCCAGTTAGTGGAAAGGCCTTAAAAATAAAACTGAAGTTTCCCTGAGAAAAAAGAAATTCTGCCTTCTGGCCCAGCCCACAGGTTTTGAATTTGCTAGCTCCCACAATTACATAAGCCAATTCCTTGAGATAAATTATATAATATATCTACATCTATATATCTCCTAATGATTCTACTACTACTAATACTTCTCTCATTGATGTGAGATTTAAAGGAATCTATCTATCTATCTATCCATCCATCCATCCATCCATCCCTCTATCTATCTTAAGCATTGAGCCCTAAAACATAGTGAATGCTCACTAAACATTAGCTATTAATAATATGATAGGCTTATTATTCTGTAGTTTATCAATTCTTTCAAATTTCACATATTATGGCAAGGAAAGAATGGAGCTTAAAGTAAAGTATTAAACCTTAGCAAATTTAAACAAAGTGCTACAAAAAAAAAAAGAAAGAAAAATGAAGCAATCTTAAGTGAACTATGAAAGATAATGAAACTTGCAAATACCCATCTATCAAAAGAAGATTTCCATGAGAGTAGGTGGCATATTAATAAATAAGGTATGTGTCTCTATCAGAATGAGTTCAAAATGACACTGAAATGACTTTTTAATTCACCTTTCAGTGGGGAGAAGGTTTATGAATAAAGAAGAATTGACAAAGATTTGACAAACAAAACAACTTAGCTTAGTAGATGTACAGTGTTCTCTGTCTTTCAAGAAGACCAGATAGTTTCTTTGTTCCCCTAGAATAGTTACTAAAGTTTTGGTGTTTCAGCATATATTTATACAAAAGAACACCTCCTTAAGACCTATTGCAAAATAATAATTTTCAGGTTCTCCTAAAATAAATAAAAAAAAATTCTGCTGATATTTACATAAAGTCTAACTTACTGATTACATTACAATCGCTGTTCTAAATCCTGGCATATAGGTGATTTTTATATATTAACTCATTCCATTTTCACTACA